GACATCCGCCTCTGCCCCTGCCCCTCCCGCGGTTCTGGGGGGATGGGGAGCAGGCACACAGCAACGCCGAAGCTTGGGATCCTCCTTCCCCTCCATGGTTCCACTGTTAGCCTCGAGATCCCCATGCTTCTTGCCCACTTCCTTGCCCTGAAGCCCCTCAGGCCATCCCAGTCTGGCGCTGCCCATGGAGATGTAAGCCCGGGAAGTTGCCTTCCTGGTGATTGCGCCATGGTCGTGCGCATGCGCCGCGCCCGTCTCTGTCCCTTCTCAGATCACCCCAGCCCCCCGGGCTGCACTGGGGCTTGGGTGCTGTCTTTGGGGGCCTTGTGGGGGGAGTGCTGTTCTAACTCCAATCCCCTGCCAGGTGCTTCACACCGTTCACAGCGAGTCTAGCTCTGAGGCTGTTGGTAGAACCACACTGGCCTCAAGGCGAGTCCTGCCAAGCCAGGGACTGGACACCTGGATGCTGAGTGCCCTGAGACGGTGTTCCCAGAAGACTCCTGCAGGCCCCAGCATGCTGTCTCTTGGGCTCTGTGCCGAGCTGCTCTGTGATGCCCTGGACACTCCTGGTCTGTCTGGGACGGACACACACACACACACACACACACACACACACACACACACACACACACACACACACACACACACACACACACACACACACACACACACACACACACACACACACACACACACACACACACACACACACACACACACACACACACACACACACACACACACACACATTCTTACAACTCCTCACATCAGCCCTCAGTGAGCCCGGGAGCCCCCACGTTCTTTTTGACTCCACCACTATGGCCTGAAGGGACTGGGGCAGGTGTGGGTGCCTGGTCAAAGCCCAACAGACACATCCTTTGCTGGGATTTTTCATCTTGGGTTCAGAGAGTGAGTCAGTCTTATAGTAAGATATAGAGAAACTATCACTCTGAGATCCTCTTCTGACACTCCCTCCTCACTAACTCTGCTGTGGTCACACCAGTCTCCTTAGAAATCTTGAACACTAAGTGTGTACTGGCCACAGGGCCTTTGCCTATGCTGTTTCTTCCATCTGACACACTCTCCTTGCAGGTATTTGCCTGCCCTCTTCCTCACCTCTTTCAGGCCTTTGTTTAAATGCCATCTTTTCACAGGCTTTCTCTAAACAGTGTGCACTCCTCCATCTGCAGGTTCAGCTAACCAAAATTTGAAAATATGAGAATAACCTATGTCTGTATTGCACAGGTATAGACATTTTCTCATGGCATTAGTCCCTAAACGATTCAGAACAACTGCTGACCTTGCAGATCCACTGTATTAGGTATGATTCGTAATCTAGAGAAGAGTTAAAGCACACAGGAGCAAGGGGATATATTCAGCCACAAAAACGAAGGAAGTTCTGTTCCATGTGGAGACATGGATGGAGTGAACTGGAGGACGTTACGTGAGATAAGTCAGACATAGAAATTCAGACATCACATGACCTCACATCCGTGTGGAAGCTGAAGAATTGATCCCAAAGACGTGCAGAACAGAACAGGAAGTGGCTCTGGGAAGGGTGTGGGCGGGGGAGGGGAGAGAGGACTGGGGGCAGGTGCAGGGTGCCAGTGGGTGGCAGGGGCAACTTGTAGCACCCTACAGCACAGCGGGGTAACTATGTTGACGGCAATCAAGGGAATACAGTGGAGCCTTGGTCCACGAACTTAATTCCTTCCGTGATTCCAGTCGAAAGCCAGGTTGGATGAGAAGTGAATCAGATGCAGTGGTTAGGTGCGATTTTAACCTGACAGGGAAATCTGATTCAGTTCTCGCCTAGTTCGGTTTGTGACCAGTACGGTGGAAAGAATCAAGGTTAGGAACCGAGGAACCACTGTACTTCAAAATAAATAGTAAAGAATTTTGAGTGTTCCCAACAAAAAAGAATGACAAATGTCTGAGGGGTAGATGTGCTGAGGACCCCGATCTGGTCATTACGCACTGCGTGTACGTAATGTCACAATGTACCCCATAAATGTGTACAATTAGTATGTGTTAATTAAAAATAAATATGTAAAATAATAAAGCACACAGGAGGATGAGTATAAGTCACGTGTAGGTATGTACAAAGATTATACCATTTTATATGAGACCTCAGTGCCTGTGGATTTTTGGTAACTGGGTTGTCCTGGAACCTGCTGTCCCCACAGATACCGATGTCTCTGAGGTGCCTTCTCCTCTTCATCCCCAGACCCCTTTCCCTGCCCCCGTTCCCGACACCCTACACCTTGTCTGTTGCCCATGTCCCCATAGGAGGAAGGCCACTGTGTGCACTTACACCCCCAGTCTATAGAACAATGACCCAGCACACAGTAGGCTCACATGTTTGTTGAATGACTACGTGGATGACTCTGTGAATCTCTAGCGCAGGGCACCAAGCCGATGATGTCCAGGGAGCACCAATGAAGGCCACACCCCATATACAGCACTGCAGTACTTGGACCCCTGATACTCTGAACCCCACCTTTCCCTCGGATCTTCCCTTTGTGCCCATGGGGAGCCTCAGCATTGCCCCAGCACATGTCTCCTTGAGCCAAGGTCATCTGAATCAGGTTTTGTGTCTTGCTTCCCAGAGCCCTAAACAGGCTTTCCTGCCTCTGCCCATTGGACAAACTTCCTGAGAAGAGGGCAGCAGGCTCCTGCTTGCAATGATCAAGCCAGCAGGGGCTGCTGAGGGTGGGACTGGCCAAGGGTCCACATAGGAAAAAGTGGGCCTAGAAGGACAGGGAGGACCTGGCTTAGCAGAAAGGGTTGGGGAGAATATTAGGCTGGGAGCAGAGAGAGCAGGTGGGGAGGCTGCTGAGGGTCCCAAAGGGACTGGGGACACCTGTCTGAGTCTGCCCTGGGACACAGCAGAGGGAGCTGGGTGTGGGTGGTGATAGCCAGCACTGCAGCCATGGTGGCGCCGGTAAAGCAAGAAGCACAGAGTAATGCGGTGAGTCTGACAGGAGAACGACGGGCTGGCTGGCAGTGGTGTGGGCTGATCGGACTCAAGGGACCTGTGGGGACCAAGGTAACTGTGCCCAAGGACTCGAAAAGGGTACAGAAAGTGGGGAGTTTGTTGGAGCCAGAGGAACTAGGGCTCTGGGTTAGGCACATCCAGAAGCCAGAAGATAGAGGAATGAGGCAGGTAGGGTACAGGTTCTGAATAGTTAACCTGTAGTAAACTGCGAGTGAACAAACCAGAGGGCCAGAATAATTAACTTAAGCAAACTGACTATCAGGGCCTAATGGAATGCAAGGGACAAAGAACAGGTCCCCGACAACATGGGAGGCCTTGGAGGGATGAAATGCAAACGAAGCAGCTTGCTTTCCAGACATCAAAGGACGCCCCACAACCAGGAGCAGTGCCTGCTTTCCCTCATGTATATATGTACGCCAGTCCCCCAAACTATAAAGAGCCGATGGATTTAAACATCCGAGAATTTTCCACTTTATGGAAACCCCTTCCTGACAAGTGGGGAGCTCCTTTCTTTTATTCTTTCTAATAAACAGGCATTTGGCCAATCCCACCCACTTGTCACTTGCTGTTTTGTTGGCTTCAATCTTCGTTGCCCCCAAACAAGAAGCTGAGAGCAAGAGGGAGCTGTGCACAGTCCCAGTGCGAATCTGAGCTTCCTCACGTACTGGCTGCTTGACAAGGGATCAGTACTCTCACCAACGAGCCTCAGTTTCCTACCTGTAGACTGGCCCCACCTTGCAGGGTTGAAGGAATGCACAGAAGTCACCCTACAAAGCCTCTCATCTGGTACCAAGAGGGGAGGGGTGGTGATGGTCCCTGTTGGCGGACACTGCGTGGGGACAGCTGGGTCGCTTCTTGCGGTGGAGTTCCTTCCCTCCTCTTCCCCTGAGGAGTCTAAGGAGCTGGGAGTGGACGGCTGTGGTGGGTCTGAGAGTCCAGATTGGGGAGGCATCAGGGCAGGGAGGCTGGGGTGCCCAGAGGAAGCCTGAAGGATCCCTCCATGCCTTCCTCCCTGGCGCCTCCACCAAGTTTGACCCCTGCCATCTCAGGAGAACAGGGCCAGAGACACAGTACCTGTCAGTTCGGTAAAAGGAGGGTAAGTAAAATGAGGGTAGCACAGGCACTCTGGGTGTTGGGAGCTCTTTCAGCCTGATGCTGTTCGTACAGTGTCAAGAGCCTGCTGTCCACTCAGGTCAGGGACAGCACCAAATCCTGGGCTTGCTAACTCTCTGGGTGACCCTGGGCCGGCCACATCTCTCTGGACCTGTATTTTTTTTTTTGTACCATGGATCAAACTCAGGACCTTGTGCTTGCGAGGCAGGTGGCGGAACCACTGAGCCAAATTCCTGGCCCTGGACGTGAATTTTGTTACCTGAGAGACGGGGAGTGTGTTAGCTGATCCCTGCAGGTCTGTGCAGCCTTTGACAGTCCTGGCAAGGCTCCTATCCATTCTGGGACTGGCAGACGGTGCCTTTTTGTGGTCAAGGGCTAAGAGCTCTAAGAGATGGACCAGGTCCCAGGCTCAGGTCTGGGACACAGTTATGACTTCTCTTGTGTCACCTTCTAAGAACCTGGAGGCCCCTGATGGGGAAGCTGCTCAAGACCCAGGCTCCTGAGTGGGCAGCTGGTTGCCAGAGAGACTAACTTCCTGGAAGAAAGGCGCTGCGGGAAGGGAGTAAGTGTGTTGGAGAGAGCCCCACTCCTGCCCATGCCCTTACCCAGAGGAGGACGGTCCTCCCTCAGTCCCGTGCTTTCTGCTCTGTGACCTCTTTGACCTTTGCAAATGCCTCTGCCTCTCCCTTCTACAGAGACCTCTTGCAGAGGCACTTTTCTGAAGCCTGGCAAAGCAGGACCCAGGGACACTGCAGGCGGGGCCTAGGGGCTGCAGGGCGGGTCACTGGCCTGTCCCCTCCCACTGCCTCAGGCAATGTAGCCCCTCTCCAGGGTAACCTGGGGGCTGGCAGGCAAATGAATAGCCGCCCACAGGCTGCTTCGACCAAACCATTCTAACTTCCAAGGGGGAAGAGGAGAGCCAGCCTGGGGACTGGGAAGCAACTGAGCCCTCCCGTGTCCCCCAGGGCCTGCCCGCTCAGAGGGCTCCCAGGAGACGGCTGGAGTGAGGCCCGAAGCATCCCTTTTCACCCTAGTTGCCACCTCTACCGGCCCAGCTGTCCCCTCCCCCAAGGCAGGCCCACTCTCTCAGCAAAGCCAGGTCCAGCCAGAGAGTGAGGGGCACAGGCTGAAGGGTGCAGGGCACTCAGGGCCCAGAGCAGGGCCAGGCACAGTGCCATTCTGTGCTCCCCCTGTCTCCTGGGACAGCTGCAGAGATCTTTCCACCGAGGTGCTGGGCTACTGCGGCTGGCTCTAAGGTCAGTGCTGGGGCTGCAGAGAAGGCCTGGTGAGGGTGGGGGATGAGACCCTTGCTGGGGGACTTGGGGAGGACATAGGGTAAGCTCAGACCCAGAATCAAGGCCAGAGAGGGCCATAGCTATGCCAATCCACACAGCAGTCTCCTTGCTGTCATGGGCCCTGCTTTGAGCAACTCTAACAGAACAAAGAAGGCTGTAGATGAGCTCACAGGGGCAAATTCAGAGCAGGGCTCACGAGAGAAGGGGAGACCCACCCCCCACTGCTCAGGACGATCCCCAGCACAGTCTGCAGGCAGCTGCAGGAGCATCAAGGAAACCTGGCCACTGGACTTGCCTTGTGCTCTGGGGACAGTATCCGGTTGTTTTCAAGCATTCCAGACTCCCTGGCTGCCATAGGAACCACTGAGATGCTAACCTCCCTTATAAGTTTTTTTTAAATCTTTTTTTTTTATCAAAGTCAGCTCCCAAGACCTGAAGCCTAGGCCCCTTTTGCCAGCCTGACAGGTTCTGCAAACTCATCTGCAGGCAGAGAAATAGCATCAGAATGAATTGGACAGAGGCTTCGCCCACTTCTGACCACCCTTTTTAGACTCCAGTCAAGCATGGCCAGGGCAGGCTAGCAGGCAGCTACTCCCTGTGGGAGACTGCAGTGGGCAAGGCCCATCCCTCCTCCTGCTCAGGCCCGAGGAAGGCCAACAACCTACGCGGCCTGGCCTCATTGCCCTCCAGACAGGCATCACAGTTTCCAGCTGGGAGCTGGGAGGCGTCCTTTTCAGTCTGCAAGCATCAGGAGGGTGGCGGAAAGACAGCTCTGGGTGCCCTCAGTCGGCGGGGCGAGGGAGCCAGGAGTTTAGGTCCTGCAGCTGCGGGTGAGTGTCTGGG